ATTTCTGAGTCTGCTAGTATGTGCTAAACCTACACTTAAATAATTTGCTAATTAGAATTTCATGGGATATTTCATTAAATACTTTCCTTAAATAACGGTATACAAGATCTACAGGAGTTCTGCAATCTATTAAAGAGGTTACCAAACAAAAATAATGAATAGACATACATAATACTCTATTACACAACATTTTGATTAAAACGTTTTAAGGAAAATAAGGGATTGGCAGCAAAACTTAGTTCCCTGCAACAGAATAAGATAACTTTTACCTGTGGGATGGAACTGCACAAATTCCAAATCCTGGCAAGGTAGACCTGCCCGAGTAGCCATTGCTGTGCCATCTCCAGTGCAAGTGTGAGCAGAAGTACAGCTAAAATATGTGCGTCCATATCCTCTGGAAAAAGTTCATAATTACTATCTACCACTTATAAGGCAGGAAAACAAATGTTTCATGAGTAACAGTCCCAATATATGTAGTAATACTGAACACTGTTTCTTTAATGTTTTCATATATTTAAAAATTATCAGTTACTAATTCTGGCCACAATATTTGCTAATCATTCACCATCAGCCACGGATAACTCAACAGTCCTAAAGCTCCAGCTCTATGTTATTCATTAACCTACTTCTGTTGTGAGCAACATAGAGGAGGGTTGAAACATTTTTTAAGCCAATTAAGCTTGTGCAGATAAAGCAATAAGGATAACTCTTTCCCAAACTGAATCAAAGGTAACTTTTCTGATATAGCCCAACACTTCCCATCTTTTATGTCAATTTTTCCATAACAACAATTTTCCATAATGTTTCATACCAAATTCAAATACTCTGAATTTTTCCAATATTATGCTATAGCCAAACTTGTCTCACTAAAAAATGACAGTAAGTATATCTTGGCACCATAATTAAATTTTCCAATATCCATGCTGTTAATCTCTCTAATCACTTCTGTCTGTAATCTTTGTACAACCTCACAGGATCACCACATGTGCATATAGGCGCCTTTTGCTTCTTCACACTTCCAACATTTATTTGGGCCTCTCCCTGTAATTTTAGAAACTTGTATGGGGGTATATTACCATCTATGAATCACTTTTAAGTAATTTTCCCTGATCTTTGCTGATATAGAGCGTAATGTGGAGTTCTTCCAAAGTGTAGCTCAATGTGTGCATGTGTTCCCATGTTTCTTTGAGAAATGTTGACCTCACTATCTTTAAAAAGGGGTAAGCAACCTGCAGCTTGAATAATACCCTTCCATAACCCCATTTCAACTTTTCAAATCAACATGCTTGAGATCATGCTGCTGATATTTGGAAGCAAAATGGCCATATTTTGGTAACATCATTTTTCTGAAGGATTTATTTATTTATATACTGCACGCACACGCGCGCACACACACACACAACATTAAGGTAGGAATGGGAGCAATTTAGCTCAGAGAACTTTCCATCTTTAGCATTCCCTAGCCCTTAGACAACAAAAATCACAATTTTTGAAACCAATCTTGATGTTTCTTTGCATTTCAAAGGTCTTAATATTAGGAATGAGAATGCTAGGGAAAGCAAACCCCAAAAAGGCTGAAAAAAATGGACCAAAACATCACCCCTGATCTTTCCAATGACAGCATGTCAGCAGACATCTTCCAACTACCCCCTTTAAAAGTCAGAAGGCTGAACTGCAGTTCCCAACTCCTCAAATGTTGTTAACCCTGTCTCAGAATGAAACTTTACTTTAATAGAAAATTAAATTTGGAAAGGACCATTTAGGCCACAAAGTCTAACACCCTGCTCAGTACAGGCATTTATAGTAAAGAATTGTCTAACTTCTGCTGGAACACATCCAGTGAAGTGGAACCCACCATCTGTCTGGTAATTGGTTGCACCCATGCAAAGGGCCCCATTCCTAGAAATCCTTTCCATTTTAACAAAAATGTTATAGTTACATTAAAGTATAGAAGGTTAGGGCTACATTACATTTCTTATTCCATGCCCTGTCTCAGCTAGAAGAAAGACAAGAAATGCATGGAAGAATATAAATGAGTGGCATATTGTATTATATAATATAGAAAAAAAGATAATGCTGGATGAGTAAAAACAAGAAGGCTCAGATGTTTCACTGACATTTCTTCATATGATTATTAACATATTACCCAGTGGCAATAACTGTATTCTTTGCTCTGAAACGATGGATTGTGCCATCTTCTATACAGAGTGCAATAATACCACAACATTCTCCATTTTCCATTAGGAGATCAAGAGCAAAATATTCCACAAAATAGCTGGTATCATATCTGAGTGACTGTTGGTGAGAGAAAGAGAAGAAAGCATCTGTAGTTGTTACAAGCACAGTAATGTTAATTTCATTACATAATTAGAAAGTGTTTCATTAGACTATAAAGCTGGTCAAGAACCTACCTATTTTAGATTCTTTATAAATATTTAGTATGTTTATGAGAATGTAAAACAATAATATTGAATCATGGAAGCCTAGAACTGGAAGGGTCCATTTAAACGATCAAGTTCAAGCCCTTGCTCAGTGAAATAATCTAAATTAAAGTGCCCATGATAGATGGCTTACCAGCCTCTATTTAAACACATCCAGTAAAGCAGAGCTTATTAATTTCCCAGATAAATAGTTCCACTGTCCAAGTGCACTTATTGTCAGGATTTTTTTTTTTTTACTAACATTCAATCAGAATTTGTTTTTCTGGAATTTAAGAAACAAACAGCCAAATTTGACTAGAAAATGTATTGTCGAAGGCTTTCACGGCCGGCATACGATGGCTGGTGTGGGTCTTCTGGGC